ATATATATAGGGTATTTCAAAATTCACGTAAGGAGTAATTTTGATGGAAAACACAGGTTTTTAATTAAAAATTGTAAATATTGTTCAACATTGCTTTTTCGTGTAGCGCTATATTTTTAATAACTTTGAATTTTCACGCTGTCTACTTTTCGTTGGCGACACTTTACCGCACAAATAGTGCAAAATTTAAATCTTGCCTGAATTTTGGGGCACCCTTTATGTTTTCCTGAAGAGTAACAGCTCCTACGTTTGATCTCAATTTCCAATTCCATTGCTGAGTTTAGTAACAAATTTCTTTAGAATGCAACCATCATAAACAAAATCGTGTTGAATTTATGGAAATTTAAATTAAATCCCTGATATTTATTGAAAATTCTATAAATATTTAAAATTCAAATACAAATTCAATTCCAAGTTCAAATTCAAATTCAAGTTCAAATTAAATATTTCCTTGATATTAGATTTCATTGAAAATCTTATACCATTTCACAAATCACTATTTTTTTCCATAAATTTATTTTCAAATCTACCACAGACCACTGGTCTGGAAAACCTGTTTCTTATCACAGCAAGGCGTCACGGATTCAAAGGGGATCTACTGCTTAATACCCTTCTAGGCAATAGGATCCTAAGGAACAAACTCTGCAATTGGTTTCCTTACTTATTCTGTCCTGTGCAATTTGAAATTTTTTCCTCGCAAGCTTTCAGTTAGTACCAAGATACCAGTTCCACAATACATTTTTCAACCCTTTTACGTTCAATTATAATTAATTTCTAACTGAGTTTAACTATTCAGTTCGATTTACGTTATTACCCCTTGGCAATCTTGCCCAATTACCTTTTGACAATTTTGCTCACACGGAAACAACCATCTTCTTCGCTCTTTTCCTAACAGATAGACGTAACAAGTTTTCGCCACACGGTAACTATTTCGCGTTCTTTCGTCCGTCCTTCGCAATTTTTTCAAACGCTCCATTTTCAGACAAAGCTCTCTTTCATCGAGCACCATTTCACGTACCAATTATATATCATGTTTTTGCTGCAAGTTAGAAAACTCAACTGGGATTTCAAGAATTTACTTGCGAATTAAATTCGTTTCTGTTAAGATGAAGCATAGTCGTTCTATAACTCTGTACCACAGAATAAAAATATAGAAGATCAATAAAAATTTAGATGCTTTTTGAAACAAATTTTTCTTGCAATTATACTGCAAAATAATTTTTAACGACGGTGCAAACAATTTTTGGATGACTTTCTAACATCATCATCGTCATTTGAAACTTCTATTATATAAATAGGAATTAAATTTTGAATTTAGCACCATCTTATCATTCGCTAATCTATGATTAGGGTGGTCCGAATATTTTAAGGTATCCATTTAACAGGAGTAATTTTATTTCGTTTAGATATAGTTCTATTGATTTTAGCACTGTTTTATAAGTCGCTGCTGCTGTTGTGACAGTGGTTTTTAATTTTTAATTTTAATGTTTAATTTTTTTTCAAGTTGTACAAGGTTTTATGTTTTATTGCTCTTCTTTATTTTCGTCTGGAGATATTCAAAGATTCCCTGCTTTTCATAGGAGAACGGGGGCAAAAATTTTCCTACAACCTCGGATCCTTCTAATCCCTTAATCTATGGACTCGGATTATGTATTTTGTCGCCCATCAATAACAGCGTCGAAAATCCGAGATTACTATTTCAGATGGCACTCCCATGCAACAAACAACGCCACAATATATACCACGGGGGCGTAACGTTGAATTTTCTGGCTCATTAATACCATCGACAACGTTCTCCCAGTAACTAGATTTGGTGAAATACTTCTGAACCCCTCGGGCATCCAGTTTCTCTCCAACTTTTGTTTTTCTCGTCCTCTTGTGCAACTGATCTAAGACTGAAATTTTATGAAGTTGATATAGAGTGTGGAAACGTAATTTATAGATTCCCGAGGGATCTGAAAGTTGTGATGGATTTATTTGACGCTGAAATTGTTGGTTTCTAAGCTCTCAATTCCTTTGTTGGACTTTATAACGAAGAGTTTGTATCCTGCTTTAAAATCAATATTATATTTTATTATATTTCTTGCGAATTCTAATTTCTGTTTTCTTAGTACAGGCATGATTAAGTACTTTATTATTAATCTACTTCTGTTTTGTTGTATTTCATTTAAAGACTGAGCTAAATTAAGTTTGATATTTATTAACTTGCTAGGTCTAACGTTAAGTGATTCTGTTGAGAGAATAAAATGTATGATAAAATGTAATTTATGATGATTTAAAAATTTCAAATACAGGATAACATTTCATAAATTATCCTGCATGGAATCATCTCTTTCTACCACCTCGTACCAGTTAATTTAATTTTAATTCTGTTGTTTATCTTCAGATTTATCAGATTGTACCCTGGAACCATCACCATTCGGATTGCCCTCGATCTTTCTTATAAGGTCTGTTGTCTTTGTAATGCTTTTCTTACTCCTTTCTCCGATATTTTCTTTCTTAAAAGAGGATCCTACTCTACCTTCTTCACAGGCTGAAGGCAGTTTCCCAAGCAACCATAAATTCAACGTGCAGAAGACCTCGACTCTGAAACGGGCAACCGCGCCCCTGTGATCCACGAGAGGAAAAAAGTGTTAGCGACGTGTAAAGCTCTCCCCCAGAAGTGGTTCATGGGTGATATTCTTTTTACGACATGCGAAACATGTTGCCTTTCTACGTGCGACCAAACTTGAACGTGAATGGTACACCACGTGGATTTCATGACTAGTTTGAATCGAATTTTATGGTCATCGTTTCTTTCCTTTTACTGTTGCATTTCAAGTGGTCCGTTGATATCCTTCACCCACTCAAATCTTTTCGTTTTTCGTCAGGAGTTGTTTTTAAGTGTACCAAAAATTAAGCATAACTGGCATCGAACATATCAGTCGAAGAGAATTTTGAGTTTAAACGAAAATATATTAATTTTAATTATGGAGATGTATGAAATTATAGCAATATCTGTAATTAGATTGTTCGTTGTGCTTATCAAATTAATATCTTAAATTGTGAAATATTTGGTAAACCAATTGTGTTACTACAATTGATGTTTTTACCAAATTTGATGATTTTGCGATTACGATATTGTACGATTTTTTGAGGTATTTTGGGACATAGAAGAGCTCATGACTGTTTTTTGTTGGATCAGCATTCTTGTCAACTTGTTTAATTACACAAAGTGGCTACGCAAAGTAGTTTTACTCAATGTTCCAGAAGAAATAGCTGCATCAGAGAGAGGCTTATTCATGAGAATACTAATGTAATTCCAGAAGAGTATCCGCACTCTTATTAGGATTATAGGACCATCTTTCTTCCAGTTTTTCTTCACCTACTTGAGAATCAACCTTTAATAACGATTAACATTTCTCGGTGCTTAAGAACGATAACATATAATCCGGATTAATGACACTCCATCATTAATCATTGAACTATGTTTTCCAATATTAAACATTCATATCCAAAATCCAAGCTTGATCATTATTTTAATCGAATTCAAACATTATAGATTTAAACTGCAATCTGCATAAGTTTAATATAAAATAAAATTATCCAGAAAAAAAATTTTAGTTTCATAGCTTTAAGATTGAAATAATGCGTTCAGGATGATTTTAGTATAATAGAGTCGAAATATGTCATGAGGTCTCCATAATTTCTCTTTAATTTGTATTTGCCTGAATAGACTGCTATTCTGTCTCGGTTACACCTCCATTTATAATCCTCATTCGTTTCTCACCGGGAGCAAAGTCAGAAATTTTCAAAGAATGTCTCACAGACCATTAAGGCTTTGCAGGTCACTAACGTAATTCTCTTATCATCGCAACTCCGTATCGATTTTTGTGGCCGGATTTCCTCAGAAAATACCACGGTGGAAAGCTATTCTTCACGTGTGCAACGATATGGTAACACATGGCCAGAGACTGCGATCGTCTCTCTCTTACGATATACTGCAGCTCGCGATATATTGTAATTGCGAGAAACAGCTGCCTTTAAACTTCCATTTATTCTTGATTCTTATTCAACGCGCCCCTCCCTCGGTGGCACTATATATTACCCGTAAAAGATCGTTGATCCCGTTAAAAATGGTAAACTGGAACGATTTTTCTTTCTAACGTACCTGAAAATAGTAAGTGCGCAGTTGGTAATAAGAAATTCAATTCGGATTTTTCTTCAGATGTTTTAACATTAAAACTTTAAAATTACCCTTTTTTATGACTTTGTAGCCTTATACGCTCCATGTAGATTAGCAGTATTTTTAACCTAACATTTAAAGAGAGATTATAAAACGAAATTATAGAACAATCTATCTTTTACCATTTGTCTTGATGTATCAGTGTTTCACTTTTTTAATTCTTCACATTACGTTGCTGTTTCAGTGATCATTTTTTATATCGACAAAAACTCTTCGAGCATGACCACTTGATTAAACGCTTCAATTGTCAAGGCACGGGTCGTGATACACGCAATGTTGCGTAGAAAAAGGAAAATAAAGAAAGAAAAATGTCGGACAAACAACGTGGACCATAGTCATGTTTAACGGGATGAACGTTATGGCCTGCATAACTGGTGCACAACGTAAAGCTGTGTGATTCACTGCAGTTTGCAGCTTCACGCCGCGGTGTTGCGCCACTTTAACACGTTGTTTACGCTCTCTGGCAATTAAGTTGGAAATCGTCCCGCGAGTTGAAATTATAAACGTTGCTTTTGGTTGTGCGAACGGTGAGTTGATTTCACGGGAAAATACATATTAGTTCAGCATATTGTTGATAATTCACATATATAAATTGGAAGAATTGTGATAATTCATAAAAAAACTTCAAAATACCATGATAATAAATATTTTTAATTTGTGACTGATACTTGTGACATAAAGCTGCCAACAGACAAAAAAAGAAACTCAAATTGTATTAAACTGGCGGGAAAAAAAGATGAAAAGAAAAAGAGATGAGTATTTCTATTTTTCTCCGGTGAAGAGAGCTGTATTCTGGGTATTTCTGCTACGCGGAAATGACGTGGCGAGTGCGAATGAAAAAACGATGGGAAATAAAGAGATAGGAAGAAAATGGAAAGGTAAGGGTAGAAGAGGAGCAAATGAAAGCACTGTATGCATCAGCTACGAAGAAAGCGGAAACGAAAAATCCAATGAGGCAATACTTTCATTTCTTTTTGTTCATTTTCTCACCTGGTACAAAGTGCCGCTGCCATCCATGCCACTAAGCAAAGAAACGTCGCTCTGGCTTTTGTGCACATGTACCTACGGAAAAATAGAAAAAGACATCGTGACTGACATCTGGGATTGATGAATGTAATATCAACTGATCGCATGATATCATTGGTGATTGACCATACCGACCGCGATCGTACAGGAAGATTACTTCCGCAGGCACCGATGTAAAAAAATAAAGTAGCAAGAAGTTGTGTTTGACAGAGTGGATTATTGACATGCCACACACGTGTTTCGTATCAATTACACTTCAAAGGGAGGAACGTTTGCAACAGACATGTTTCACGAGGAAGCAGGAAACAATATATATATATTTTTTTTAACAAGTTTTCATCGATGTTTTAATTTTCTCATGCAGTTTAGAAAAATTGAATGTTTGGTTATGTTCCTGTCGACCGAATCCGTGTGTACAAGTGTCTGTTCTATATGGTAAATATTATTAAATAGTATGGAAGGTTTCATTACTATATAAAATCATATAGAAAGATTCCAATTAAATATGTAACAGAAAAATGAAAATTCAATCGACATTCACGCGTTTCGTTCCCGTTTAGGTTACTGCTTTGTTTACGCACGAGTGGCACGCTGTTGGTGGACAATTTTTCACGTAAAATATTCATGACGATATTATGCGGTTATTTTTAAAATATTCAGGATGATGGTGTACTTTTATTTCTTAAATATTCTATAATCCTACTTTCTTACTTACCCAACTCTTAGAGGCTCGCAAATTGCATAATACCGCTCAAAACTGATTGCTAGGATTGTCAAAACTGAAGCATGCGCTACGGTCAACTCGACGAATGGTACAGCCTTACCTGAAATTGCGCAGATTCACTATTAAGGGAAAAATTAATCAAGTTACTGAAAAATAAAATTGGAAATATTAAAGGAATGTTTAATTTTCTCCTCATGGGAAATGAAAGAAAATATAAATCACCAATGCCATTAAAGGTAGTGTCTAACTACGTATTGGGACATTCTACTGAGAAATTGATCAGGTGATTATAGAAGCAGTCTAGTAAATATCGGTGTTTATGTATTTTTTTAGAGATTACGAATTAATATACTTTCCAGGATGGATAAAATACAGACATATATTTGTTTATATATCGAATAAATATATCAAAAATTTAATTCAATGACCAGGGAGAACAATTTCATTTGTTGCTAATATTTGCCAATTAGAGAATAAATAATTATCTGAAACTCGCATTTGGATAAATAGATTCCGCGCATTTTAATATGTCAATAATCATTGAAGACGAAAATCAATGTGATTTTTGCCTTGGTACGTATAATTAAAACACAATGAATCAATAACCAAAATTTATTATATACAGGGTGTTTCGTTTGTCACGCGTTCTTTAACGTCTATCTTATACTTGAAAGCAGAAAAGAAAAGAGAAAAATTCGGGAAGAAATTATATAACTGAAAAATTGGAAATCATAATATCCTTCGTTTTTAATTGAAGTTTAATTTACACAATTTTATACATTAACTCCTATCCAGCTGATAATAACTATATCACGTTCTAGATGGTGAAAGGTCAATCTTTACATTCAATAATCGGGAACAAGATTTACGATTCGAAATTTACGGTTCCTGAAAGGAAGATTGCCGGACAATCAGGCTATCGCAATAAAGTGGCACAACTATCTGGATGCTATTATTTTCCTGTGCCTTTCTTCCATTTATTCGATGTCTACCGTGCCAAGATCGACGAAGTAATTCAGTCCTCTTGCTCGTTCCAGGAAGTCACCGTGTTTTTTCGGTAAAGGTAAAACAAAAACACGAAACATTTTATTTCAAAAATAAAATGCACAATGTTTTAAATTAATGAAATTTTTTGGGTACATGCCTCTCATGACAATTACTGTTGCTGTCTAAAATTTAACGTTTCAGAATGTTAAGAAACTATTTCTGTATTTTTCGTTGTGGAACCTTTAAATCGGGCGGAATGTTTTCGTGACTGGATCCAAGTATAGAAGACAGAATTAGGAGAAAGTGTTGAATAATAGAACCGCCAAAGATTCCGGAAGCACGTTGAGCGCATAAGCCATGGAAAATTATGAGCCATCGCGGAGAATTGATCCATTCTGGATTCTAAACATAATGCAATTACTGAAAAACAACTCCATTCTTATACTATCATTCTTACTTTCAATAATGCACGTTATTTTTATGCACGACAATTTTTAATTTTATAATTTCTTATTTTTTTAACTTTATAGTTCGTGAGTAAAATCTCTGTTTGTAGCATTTGCAACGTTTCGTTATGTACCTTATGATTCATTAACGAATGTTGAATAATTTTCGACGAATCTACAGTTCTAATTCTGAAATTATTGATAAAGTAGTGAAAACCTTTTTTTCAATTTGTGGATAGCTATATATAGATGAATATATTGGGTCACTCATTTTTGAAGCTTCTTATATAATATTTGAAAGACTATAAATTACATAAGGCAACTGAAACGAATCGGATTTCTTTCCAAAATATTTTCAGATTTACAGTTACTCTCATAATTATTCAGTTTGGTATTATTCATTTTGAATCATCCGGTACGATCTTCAATATAGCGTTCAAAAATTACTTGCCTCTCGATAGATATTTCCATGGGTTCCCAAAATTTTTACGATTTTCATCTTTTTTCCATGAACGAAAATAAAAAAGGAAAAATGTAAATAAGCTAAATACTGTCCTCTTATTTTATATTGTCTCAGTTACTTCAATTATTATTGTCTGTGTATATTATAGCGTGAACCACTATATTTCGTAATAACACGGAAAGTTGTGGTGTTAGTGCATATTGAATGGTGAAAGGATTCTACTCGGGAGGATATGAAATTCTAGAGTTCTGTCCTACCAGTTCACTCGGAATATTGCGTTCTTCTGGACCCGCTGAATTGCCTGTTAATCTTCATTCAATCGTTCCAATGCTCCGTTCTATTTCTTTTCGCCTACATTCTTCAATTTTGGTGGGTATTGCACAAAAGATAAATAGGTTTGTCTAATATCGCACGTGAGTAGAAACAGACTCGAGTTGTCAGCCTATTTCAAGCACTTTCACTTTTCAAGGTCATCCCCTCTCCTCTAGCAGTAGTTACAGCGACCCCTAGTCGTTCGCACTACGAGTCATGCCCATTTAAAACGACACAAATTTGCGCGAATAGTAACCAACATTCGGAAAAACAACAAAAAATAATCTACCTTTTGAAGTTTACGTTGTGAGCATTTCCTTGCGACGGACGAAACGACACACGACCATACGTGCATACTTTCGCGGAAAATAAGTGCATTCTAGGAGAACAGCGGTGACAGAGTACAAAGCGGTTTTAAAAGGTTACTACGGTCTTTGTCGCACTCATTGTTACTGCGTTGTCTTCGCGGTCGCGTTAGAAACGCATATCAAATGCGAGCGCCATTAACGTATACTGCTATTCAAAAGTATGTGAATTTAACTCTTACTACTATTTAAAAAAAAAAAAAAAATTACGAAATCTTTAATGAACTTGATTAAATTTCACGTATTCTAGTTTAATTCGTTAAATAATTCACCAACAAGTCGTGGCATTCTGGCTGTAAGTTTTTTCATTTCTTCATCAATTAGGTTAATTTTACTCCGATTGTAAAACTTCCTATAAATGTTTCTCTGATTTTAAATATCGTTTTCAGAGCCAACTGTACGGAGCAGAGAGTAATGCAGTGCAGCGTATCTTGCGTCAACATTTATTTATTTGAAGAAATTGAAGACTTAAATTGTTCAATTTGATCTTATCAAGGTACAATACACATACACGCAATCACAATAGAATTTAATGGTAATCATTTAACAATAATAATAAATATTATATTTCGTAGTTGCTATGAAATTGGTAAGTGTCCACGTACTTTTGAACGACAGTGTACATGCGAACGCGCCTTCATAACTTCCTTTTTTGGGATTCTCTTCTCACCTCATGCGTGGAATTATCATTACAACGAGGAAAATAAGAAAGGACAAAAATATGGTTCAAAAAGGAAAATAAATTCAAAATCACGGGACTCATAAACAATTCTTTCTCTAGTAATGCATAAATCGATGTTATCTTTTCATATTTTGTAAACTGTTGTAAGATGTTGACGAAAAAAATTTGTTACAGAGAAAAGTGATGAAAAATACGTAGAATAGTTGAAATTATATGTAAGTACGTAAAATTCATTTTTTCGTTGACATTTTTGAATAATTGATAGTGCATCAATGACACGCGAATATAACTGTTCAGCTGATTAATATTGTATATGCTTTGAAGTAATTATCATCTATGATATTTACATTAACAGAGTAATGAACTGGAAATATTAATTTGTAATTATTGGATTTTCACTTAACACAGGATAATTATCCGTTTACCGCAATTTATTAACGATTAATCAGAACACTCGTTCTCACGGTTTTCTTCAATGCATGGTTAATAAAACAATTCGTTGCATTTGTGATCCTGTCTTCGCTTCTGTGTTGTTATTTATTATTCATAGAGCTCGGACAAACGTAGGACGCTTCCGGTTTGAACGAACGGAAATTGAATGACCGTTGGATATTGAATTATGAATTTCCAAAAATTCGAATAAAGTTTGATAATACAGAGATCTCTCTCGTAGCAAATATTTTAGAAATTGGATTTCCATCGCTGAGATATTTAACCATCGCAAATTTCCACGCTACTTTTATCAAAACGAGATAAAAACTTGGCGGAAGAGTTCGTGTAGAGCACTATAAATTCTTCTTAATTAACAATCGGTTAAATCCTATATGTAATTTTTTTGATATGTAACATTTGCTTGTAGGTTAGGTCAGAGCTCGTCATTGTTGCGAAGTAACCAAAAAGAACCAGTGTATTCGCCTCGCAGCTGGATTAGAATTTGTACAGTTTTCTAAAAAATCAAAGGGAGAAAATTTTTCATCTGTGTCGAGGAGAAGCAAGTTTCCGGCGTTCGAGGACGGCAGCGCCTTTTCCATTCTATTTCCTGCCACGAAGGTTAAAGAGAATTGGATAGAAAGCGGCAGGACAGGGAGGTGTTACGCCGGGCGTAGCATTAAATGCCCCAGCCTCTAAGAGCAACGGTAATTCCCCGTAGGGGGTAGAAGTTCAGCTGCTCGTTTCAGCCAGCCATCAACATTGTCCATCGCGCTGGACTTGGCCCGAGTGCGTCGTGTGCTAACGCCTGCCTTTTTCGTCCACCTTGCCTTAGCCTTGTCCAGGGCAGTCCTCAAGGCTTCCTCGAAACCGATAAAACATCACGTCGACTGGAAGACGCTTATTCAATTAGGATTCGTTCGTACAATTCAGTCTTACGATTTAGACAGATCTTCCTTCGCCCACCAGTTAGCGCTACTTATACCGCCGAGAAGCGTGAAGCTAGTCACGTTCACGTGTTCGATGACAACTTCGAAGAAGATTGGACATATATTTATGCGATCAAATGGATATACATTGGAATTTCCATTATATGAGTCAATTGGGAGAAACAGGTATTTATATAAGAAAATTTTCATATAACAGAAAGAGGTTAGTACTCGGTTTTATTTCATATGTTCCCCCTTAAGGGGGCATACCAGTACGTAACCTTCGAAAAATCGGTTTTGTTCATTGTCTTAAAAAATTCTCCGTTCTTTGCTACGTCAAGTGCAAAAATCCGAAATCGAAATTCGAAAAACTGGCATCACTGAAATTAACTCTGACTCGAGCAGACATTTTTGTCAACCAAATGTTTAACCTCAATTTTCTCGGAACACTGCTTTTAATCATGGTGGATAGCATAACGAAAGAACC